CTTTTTATATTTACAATAGCTTTGTTTGGGGGGGGGGGGGGGCCTTTTTTGGGATCTGCTCCATGGCAATCATCAAATGATAAAAGACCGATAAGGGTGCCATGTAATTCTGCTCTTTCTTTCTAAGGTACGGTGTGATGTCATGTAGCTGAAAAACTCTATGAACCTTAACACGTTGCACAGAAATTGCATATCTGAAATTTCCAGGGAACAGAGAAACAAATTGTTTTGGAACATAAAATAAGACTTAAGGGAGAATATAATGATACAAATATCAATAATATTGTCTTGAGAAGTGAGTGCATGTGGAATATCTTGTCCTTACAGACTTATATGTAGGAGAATAATCCCTGCAGTGTACTTGACAGTGTTTTTAAAAGTGTTTCTGTAGCAATGCTCTCAACACATGGAAGTTTTTTGGGACCTGTGTTCCCTGCATGCCTAGTTCTACTAAAATTTTAGTAACTTATGAAACTGTATGAATTACCTATTTAGATAATTGTAATAATTATGTAAATAAATGTTATATAACTGTTTATGCTTAGATGTATCCAGGCTGAGGAGCAGAGAAGAGGTAGAGTAAAAGACATCTAATGAGAAAATGTTAGTTTTAGCTTCCTGTAAAAATGGCTGTTTTTCAGAGGAGCCGAGTACAGCGTGCTCCTGCTGATATCCGCTTGATTTGTTGGACTCTGCAGTGGCAGTGCCTGGTCTGAGGTTTGGCACTGGCCCTTTACTCGTGATCTGCTTTTTCTTGTTACTGAGCTAAACCTCCTTATGGCCAGAATTTGCACAGATTGCTCAGATGAACTCGCTCAGCCTCCGAATGCGAGTTGCTGGTGAGCCTGTGATGAACGCGCAGCAGAGGCCTTGGCAGCCTTCCTCCCCGCATCTGCGGGATGAGTTGAGCTTACAAATCAGCGTGCCTGTAGCCGTGTGTGTTCCAGAACAGGACGCCTGCTCGGAGGGGCTGAAGGAAGCCTGGCTGAGGGGTGAGCTGTGAGGGTTATCGAGCGGTGGCACGTACTGGCAGGCTGCTGTGTGATAAGTTCGCGAAGCTGTTCCTGCAAGGCAGGAGCTAGATGTTTGCAGGGACTATCAATTGGTTTGGTTTTTTTTATCAAGATACCCTGGAGCTACCTGTTACCTCTTCTGGAACACTGAATTCAGGGGAGTTACACAGCTTAGATAAATGTGCTCTGAGTCTATAAATAATAAGCTGTTACAAGTTTGCATGGTTGTCTTCTGCATGCGTTTGTGGAAGTATTGGCTTCTGTGCAGGACTGTGTCACTTCTGGTTTTGTTTGGTTTTTGTTTGTGGGGTTCCTTTAAGCCCTTCTGAAGAGTGAGGGGATACAGTGGAAAGGTGGAAGTATTTAAAATTAATATTATGTAGTTTCCTAGTTTGGTGTCTCATGTAGAAACTGTGTAAGTTGTACTAGACGAACTCTTTTATAGGAAAATTTGTTTACCAGTCTTGTCTTTTAATTACAAAGGTGGCTCAGCTGTACCTCACATTGTAATTGGGTGAGAGATTTATTTTTCCACTCCTGAATGTGGGAAATGAAAAGTAGGTAGAGTTAGGAAGAGGGCTTGAGGTGAGGCATGAGGAAATGACCCTAGAGGAGTACAGGAAATGGGTGGGAGTTGAGGAAACGCTTTTATCCTAAAATGTAAAGCGTAGCAACTAAGTGTTGAAACCTCAACTTGTCCCTCAAAAGAATAATTGTTGTGGACAACAACTTTCACTACCATTACTTTCTTCTGTTGATTTATATGGAAAATGACTGTGATTATGTATGATTTTTCTTTCTCCCTTTTTTTAAAGGTGTTTTTCTTTCCCATTTCCTCTTCGTTGTGTGTTTCCTGTAGCTTAAGCACTCACAGTGAGGCTTTGAACACTTAGGAAATGTCATGTTCTTCTTAAGTCAGCTCTGTTCAAAAGTACTTATGACTGTGTTGGAACCCCATTAACCTACTTTAAAGATGTGATCAAGATCCCACTAAACATGCCAGCCCTAAAATTATGCTGTGAAGTAGTCCATTAAATTTATTTAGTGTTTAATTAAGCAGTTAATATCTGAGTGATTCTGCAGATATGAGTAAAACTGCTTTGGTTCTGCAGTAAAAATAAACAAATTCCTTAGCATGACAGTTGTGGGAGAAAATTCAGATTAACCAGTGATACAGTTGGTTATAGAACTCAGTTAACCAATGATACAAATAATACCTCCTTCAATTCATCAACTCTGTAGTGTTAATACATTTATGCCATGAATACCTAGAGCTCAAATATAGGTAACCTATATAATTGTGCTTTACGTCTGCCATTTGTAGTGTAGGCATATTTCTAAATGCCCAAATGTGGTGCAGAGCAGAAACCCTCAAGCAGCGCTGGCTGAACTGGTATGAATGGTTTTAAATAAATAATTAAAAGAGCTAGCTTCAGTCCTTAAAGAATCATCACGGTACTGGTGCTAATAGCTGAGGGAACAATGCTAATTTTCCTTCATACTACATTATTTGCAGTCCCAGAACCACTTTAGGCATAGCTAGCCTCAATATTTTTGATCTGTGCTCTTGCATGGATGTGCCTTTGGAGCCGTAGTGAGCCAGACCCAACTCCAAGGTGTGCACAGCTAATGGTTGTTATGGCTCAAATTCTGCCAGTTCAGAACTGGAAGTTTTAAGAATCAGTTTTTTGAACCTGTAGTCCTGTTATTTGCATGGCACAATATATTACACCTGTGTGAATACTCTCTGTGAACATTATGAACAGGAGTATTAGTGAAAGGAATATTAGTGAAAATTAGAGGAGTTTGGGAAAGAGGCTGAGAAATTTAAGTTACATTTGGTTGTCACTCATTTAAAAGATACTTTCAAAAAATTCATGTGCCTCTGCATGCATGACTTATCTTTCTTCCTGTTTAAAGTGGGTTTTGTTTTTGTTTTGGTTGGGTTTTTTTAAGCAGAACTAATTAAGCCTCCCTTCCTATGAATTTATGCCTCACTCATTTTCTGCTTTACTAACATTTTGCACTTTCATTGCCTGCCTCCTCCAGATCCCAGTACTGCTAGCTTCTTCCTATGTCCATCACCTGTGGGTTCATCAGTGTGTGGCGTATGCTGTGTGGCAGATTCCGACTTCAGTATGAGCATGTTTCTTAGCGTATAAATAACAAGGCCATATTAACTTGGGTCTCTTTGTTCTTCCAATCTTATAAATCCATGTATTTAACACATTGGCCTTTTCTCAAATATGATTAAAACTGGTGGTGAGATGTATGAGTTGTAATGAAGGCAGAGAGTCAAAGACTTCTCTGAATAAGGTGCAGTTTTGCCCACTATGGCTGTAGTTCCCAGTCCACTCATCCTGGGTGCTCGCAGCCGAGCTTGTGCAGCGAAGGGTGGGAGCTCCTGTGAAGTGGAGGGGGATACTGGTGAAATGATTTGGTGGGAGTAGGGAGCACTATAGAGAGAGCTGCAGGTGGCTTCTCTAAAAAGTGAAATGCTGTTATGTATGCTAATGCTGTTAAAAATTGGTGAGGCGAATGTGATCAGAAGATATCTGTTTAGAGATAACTTATTGAAACATTCTAAGTTGTAGTGTTTTGACATTTTATAGAAAATATACTTCTATTTTCACAGATTAAGCTGCCACCAATGATGGAAATCATAACGGCTGAACAGCTGATGGAATACTTAGGTTGGTAGTTACAATAAATGTTTTTCATTATGTATTATTAGCGAGTAGTAATATAGGAGGACTGGATTATTTATGTACTATTTTATTCAGCTTTACCTGAACACAAGCTTCAAGACAGCTATTTGGCATGTTTGATTACTCATGCTTTTCCTTAATTGTTTTTAGTAGTTTTCTATACTGCTTTCCTAAGTTGTTAGTCTGGTGATGCAGTTGGTATGGCTTAGTACACCAAAAAGTTGATAGGTTAAAACTTACTCGTGTCTCTTACAATGTTTTGTTATCGTTGACAGAATGTAGTAAGTCAACTGTGTCTTTAATTGCCTGCAGTAACTCTCACCTTGGTAGTATGACCCAATTAAAATAACAGGAAAAATTAATTTGGTTGTCACGGTGATTGGGGTCTCATTTGCTGGCACTTCATTGGATTCAGTGTTCAGCAAAACTGCAGCTGTTTCCACCTGACAAGTCTGTAACTTCCATAGCCCAGAATGATCCAGGTGTTAAAAGTGCAGTTGCAATAGTTCTTAAGCTCTATGTACCACAGTTCTTTCCCTTTGTAGTCTAATAAATATAACACGTTTGAGCTTAATAGACTAGGTTTGATTTTTCTTAAGCAGGAGGAAAAAAGAAATCTTACTGAATTGTATTTCTACTTGTAAAGAATGTGGCTTGTTCTTTTCCCAAGCATATTGCTGAATCTGTCAGGGAAAGAAAAGTTAACTACATACTTTAAAAAATAATAAAATCTTAAGAAATCTTGCTGTGTGTATGTAAACATTTGAATTCTTCAGATAGAATAATATTGTCTAAAGCCACTGCATAATCATAGCTGGCTAAATGTGTGTATTCTGTCATGAAGGCATATATTAACTTATGAATTATCTTATTAAATTGAATAACAAAATTACTCAAACTATTTAAGTTCCTGTTCAGTCAACAGGGTTAGCAGTTGCCAAATGGTGGTTCTACAGCTTAAAAAAAGAAAAACCCTTCAACCACTTTGTACAGTATTCACTTTAAAGATTATAAATGAGGAAGCCTGTAATGATATTTTTCTCTGAGTAGAAACATATTTTTAAGGAATGGAGCAAGGGAATAAATACAAAAAGCATTGAAATTAAATCTGTGAAACTTGGGAGAGGTAGTTTATTGATACTAGTCACAAAAAACGTTCTAAATCTTGAACCCCAGTGTATTGATTAAGTGATAAATTACCTTTGTTTTGTAGACACAGATGGAATACAAGCCTTTTAAAATATGGGTATATGGACACATGCCAAAATATTCATAGTATTAGTCAGGATAAGTGGTTGCTTTTTTAAATTATTATGCAATTACATGTCTTATTGTGAGCAATTTAAGTTGAGGCACAGAGGAAGGTAATTTTCTGAGTAGTTAGGAGATTAATACGATACTGAGATTTAGTAACCACATTGGCCATTTGAATTTTATTTCTTGATGTGATCTTAGTATGTTTTTTATACTTCATTACATAATCACACAGATTATAAAGCAATATAATCTCAAACTTGATGGAAAGCTTCAATGGTAGTATTTATGATCAGTCAATTTCAGTCGGAAGTGTTCATAGAAATGTTGAAGCTTTGGGTGTCAAACCTAATTTTATTTTTGTCTTTTTTAGGAGATTATATTCTTGATGCAAAACCTAAAGAGATATCTGAAATTCAGCGTCTAAATTATGAACAGGTAAGGAGCTGCTTGTAAAATACAGTTTCTTATATCTGAAGGAACTAACTTCTTTTTCTCACCTGAGTTTTTTCATGTTATTAAAAACCAGAAGCATACAAACATTGTTTATAGTTAGTTTTTTTTTTATTCTAGGCTTTGATTTAGAATATTATTTGTAGATACTTGCTGTTAGTGAAAAAAAACTATATTATCACATTATTTCTTTTGCCTGCAGTGAGCGTAATGAAAGAATTTTGGTTTTATTGAGGAATTGCAACACAAAAGTAGAGATGGAAGTATGTAACAGAGTGGTTGCTCTTTGAAGTCTTCTGTGTCCTTCAGTGTGCTCTGTTTTGTGGTGCCTGCTAGACTTTCTCTGAGAATGAAAAGTAATCAGTAAGAGTTCCTAAGTCATGATGGACAAAAATATTGTTGATTTGCTTTGAAAGGCAATATTATTAGCACTGACCACTGTTTTTATGTCATCACTGAAGCCTTTATGTTAAAAGATAATGCTATTATTTAAAAGTAAATAAACATGTAGTATTTATTTTCTTGGAGGAAATTTTTCAGGCTCTATAGTCACAGCTGGTTTTTTGATTGCTCATGGAAAAGTGATTTGAATTTGTGATAGGTGTTATGTTTCAAGCCAATTCTATCTATTATTGGATCTTCTTTTCTTTTTGTCATTCAGTGTTGAAAACCAAATTGAATATCTTGATAGTTGAAATTAGAATGGAGATTGAATGTGGATTCTTTCAATAGTAATAAAAAATATGACTTATACCAAATCATGTGAACTATTTTTGTAGTAACAAATCAGTGCTATTTTTTCCACACAGTGCTATGCAGTAGAAGATTATAGCTATAATCAACTTACAGGAGAATGATGAAAATTATATACCTGGTTAAAGTACAACCTCTGTGGCTTTCTTGTGCTCAGATATATGGCATTCAACCAAACAATCTTAAAGAAACCTTCTGTTCTAGGAACGTTCTAAATGTAGACGCATGAGTGATACCGCATGGGAGGGGAAAAAGAAACTAATCCGGCAACCGAGTCCTACAAAATTATTACATTTCAGAAGCATTGGAGCTAAGTTGTGATGTTAATCACAATTTTGTGTTCACCTTGTCACACAGTTAATACTCTTTGTCCAAACAAACATATGTTCTTATACAAGAAATTCAAGTAAATTTTTTGGACAGATGGATTTGTAATGCTAGATTTTAGTATAATTTGAACATCATGACAAGATATTCACTTCAGTTGCAATTTTCTTTTTTGCTTGAGGGATTTAATTGTTTGAGTGAAAATTGGTTCAAAAAAAAAAAAAAGCATAAGTTCTAATGCACAAACTTAAAAACAGGTTGCCCACAGAGGTTTTAGAGTCTTCATCGGTGGAGATACTCAAAAACTGTTTGGACATATTCCTGGGCAGCTTGCTCTGAGTGGCCCTGCTTGAGAAGTGAGGGTGGACCAGATGAATGTCAGAGGTGCCTTCCAAACTCAACTGTTCTGTTTACGTCCTTGCGTACTTGTATTTTTTTTTTTTAGGAGCTTGTTGCTTTGACGGTATTGAAATAGCTAAAATAGAAATGGTAGTGTTCACACTGCAGTGAGCAATGTCTGCAGTTTTCCTGTTTTGTTTATTAGGTAAACATTGCAAAATAAATGCAAATAATACCTGTAGATACATGATCTGAATTTGTGGGTAACTAGTGCTGAATTGCTACAGACTTCCTTCCTATTCATTTAGCAGAGGGAGAGGATAGCATTATTTCTTCCAAAACATCTCTGAGAGATTTTTATGCAATGAGTGGTTTTAGTCTGTGAATCTTTTCTGTCTGCATCTCCTTTCCCATCTGCATTTCTATGTCTTGTCATTCTTTTTCCCCCATTGTTGCAATTCTGAATTCCTCTTAAGCAATAGAATATTGCAAAACTAAGTGGAAAATTCTTCTTCCTGCATGTCAGGAAACTTATTTGTCTGTTGCTTCAAGAGAACTGTTTCACAAAGCACTTTTCTTTGGTTCATCTTGGCTTTGTGTGATTGGATATTCGTAAGTTGATAGTTCACTTTAGGGTTGCATTGGGATCACCACTGAAGTTAAGTGCTACTTTAATGAATTTTTTCCATAGGAGAATTAACAGGTGATTTAAAGGTATGTCCAAAATACGATAGCAAAACTTTTAAGAAACAGAAAAAAAATAAATCAAGATTCTTCTTTGGTGTTCACCACTAAGTACTGAACTCACAAAAGAGTGGGCAAGTAGATCAGTTCAGCTTCTTCACTCATTATGTGGTGGCAAGCACTTCAGCCTGCCTCATAAGGTGGCACTTAAGGGGAGAAGCAACCTCAAGAGAGTTGCTTGGAGATTCCCTTATAATCCAATTCTTCTTGCAGACATCTGGCTATGGGACACAGAACTGAGAGGAGCAGGAGCTGCCTAAAACCAGCTTATGAGTGTAAAAGAGCAAAGTCAGATATAGCTGATTGGAAGGAGAAATCTTATTTTGCAGTTCTTTTCTGGCAGAGTGAAAATGAATAAAATGAATATGCACTGAAACAGTTGTTTATCTAGTTTCCACTTCTTAACTTTTTTAATTTTTTCCAAAATGTTGAATTGGTGCATACTAAATGATGAAGGGTTGCAAGAGTAGCCACTGAGTCTACAAAACTCTATTTGGTCATCTGTTTTTTATTTCTTTCTGCTGTCAGAACATGAGTGATGCAATGGCGATTCTACATAAGTTACAGACAGGTCTGGATGTCAATGTGAAGTTTACAGGTGTACGAGTATTTGAATACACACCTGAATGCATAGTGTTTGATCTTCTTGATATCCCCTTGTACCATGGATGGTTAGTGGACCCTCAGGTAACTTATTAAATAATTCAAACAGCATATAAATTATTCTGAATTCTGTTGGGGGGAGGGGAGGTGTTTCAGTATTTTAACTTGAGTTAATAATGATTATGATAATAGATTTATTTTTTTTATCTAGTCAGAAAAAGTGGATTTTCTTTAGAGAGGAGTGAATACAGAGTGTATGTGGTTTTTGGTGTGGTGACTTTGCAGGGACTAGGTCTATAGTCAAGTTAACTTTCAAAACCTTCTATGCTAAATTCATGACTGTATAAATGAGAATTATTATTCTGAGGGAGGCAGGAAGTTGCCAGATACAGTGTCCCAGTCATTGTTTTGAAAGCTTGTTAGAGAACACTTGGAAGAAATGCAAGGTTACCTTCCTTCTTTCTTTAATTCTGATTTACTAGTCACTGCTTTTGAGAACTGAGGATGTTAGAATGAGTTAGAGAGAACTGCATCTTTACAAACATGTAATTTTTATTTTTCATTATGTTGTTTAATAAACAGTAAACTGGTACTGTTTTCTTAAGGGGAAACTAGTGAGTTTGGCTGGAATAATCTGCCCCAGATTTTTTTTCTTTTCATGCCTTGTTCATGAAAGTTGGAGTTCTCTTACCCCCTTGGACATTCCCCACTGTCCAGCTGGGATAGTTGGTGTCCCATTCTCTCCTCCATCCATGTCAGCAACAGCTTTTTATGTTAAGCGTTAAAGTAATGATTTAAAATGGGAACTGAGACAGCAAAATGTGTAACAGTTTTTGCTAAAACTTTCTGGCCTAGTGTTTTTAGGGAGATAAGGTTTCAACAGAGAGGACATTATTTTTTTTTTTTCTGAATAATTGCTTACAAATGTATTCTATTCTTCACAAAAGTTCTCTGTTCTTATGCCGTTTCTTCTTACACCAGGTTGCCGACATAGTAAAAGCAGTTGGTAACTGCAGTTACAATCAGCTAGTGGAGAAGATCATTTCTTGTAAACAGTCAGACAACAGTGAACTGGTCAGTGAAGGTGGGTAATTTATTTTTTTTCTGTGCTTTATCAAAGTATCTACCCTATGAAATCTTGGGTACATTTTTTTTATGGGGGTCTTGGTGTTTCCAGGTGTTAAGATCTGCATTCTGTTTGCTGAACTTCTTTCCCTGGGCAGGCAGAGAGCACTGTGTTTGTCTTCTGGACTTCTCTCATGCAATTTCCAAACCAAGGATCAACTTCATTCTCTTGATCTGTTTAATATACTTTTAAAAAAGATAGAACTTTTAATGAAAACTTACTGTGGGCGGCATTCAAATTTTATGTTGTCTATGTGTTATCTCCTGTAGTTAGAATATGAATTAGGTGGTGACAAAGTAATATTAGAACCGGATATAGCATTTCTGAACACGAGAGGGTTATCTACAATGCTGAGACTTCAGAATTTTCCACTTGTTTTTCCCTCTCTGAATGTGTTCTCTGATTTGTGGCAATATGGGGGCATGCTAGTAGGGAGGAGATAGGAAAAACCAGGTTTTATATATTAGGAAGCATATAATAGACAGATGTAACAGTATGCATTGCTTTTGTAGGATTTGTAGCTGAGCAATTTCTGAATAACACAGCTACACAGTTGACATACCATGGACTGTGCGAATTGACTTCAGCTGTCCAGGAGGGAGAGCTTTGTGTGTTCTTCAGGAACAACCATTTTAGCACCATGACCAAATACAAGGTATATTCAATGTTTTTGTCTTTATTGATGTGGTTTGTGTTCTCATTTCAAAGCAAAGCTTGTTTTCCCTGTCTTGAAATAAATTCCAGTTTGTTGTATCTAAACATGGTGAATGTAAAGACCTGTAGCAAATGTTAATTGTGAATTATTGATTACAGTGTTTTAGATATCAAGATTCATTATCATTTTAAATTATCTTGTAGCTCTTTGTTTTATGTTGTTTGGTCTTTATGTTAACTCCTATTGTGGTTATATATGATGTGCATTCCTTTAATGGCTTTAATTTACCTGCTGCTTGGGATTGAAGGTTAACGAATCTAATTTGACGTTTCTGAGGATATAAAACTTTGGTTTACATTTGGGACAGTAGATGAGTAGTTGCCAGCAGTGTGCCCAGGTGGCCAAGAAGGCCAAGAGCAGCCTGGTCTGTATCGGGAAGGGTGTTGCCAGCAGGAGCAGGGAGGTGATCATGCCCCTGTACTGGGCTCTGGTGAGGCCTCAGCTCGAGTGCTGTGTCCAGTTTTGGCCCCTCATTACAAGAGGGACATTAAGGTGCTGGAGAGGGTACAGAGGTGACCAAGCTGGTAATGAGTTTGGAGCATGTGTCATATGAGGAACAGCTGAGGGGTCTGGGGCTGTTTAGCCTCAGGAGACCTTATTGCCCTGTACAACTACCTGAAAAGAGGCTGTAGCGAGGCAGGGGTTGGTCTGTTCTCCCTCGTGGTGAGTGATAGGACAAGGGGAAATAGCCTGAAGTTGTGCCAGGGGAGGTTCAGGCTGGATATTGGAAAGAATTTCTTTACTGGAAGGGTTGTCAGGCATTGGAACAGGCTGCCCAGGGAGGTGGCTGAGTTGCCATCCCTGGAGGTGTTTAAGAGATGGGGGTGGTGTGCTGAGGGACGTGGTTTAGTGGTGTTGATAGGGCTAGGACAAAGGTTGGACTTGATCTTGAAGATCTCTTCCAGCTGAAAACGTTCCATGATTCTATGATCATGGTGTTCAAAATACCGTGCATTTGGAGAGGTAGAGACCAGCTGCAGTATTGTGTCCTTTTGTAAGGAAAGAGACTATGTATTTATTTAGAATCTGCAACTGAGGAAGCAAAATGGTGAGAACTGAAAGGACTGTTCCAGGATACAAAAAGCAAGTGACAACTTGGTTAATCCTTCTGGGATTCCTTCCTCTGTGGAATGGAGAATCTGGCTTGGCAAATTTATGATCACTTATGGAGCGTCTTTGTTCTAACACAACTTTGCCTTTACTAAGATGGTAGTGTATTTTTATGTATCAGATTTGGGCAGGAAGGGGCATGGTCAAATTGCCTCCTAAGATTTAATCATTCCCTTCGTTGATAAACGTGAATATTTTAAAGTTTTCATTGGCTTGCGATGTCAACTAATCCTGAGACATCTCTTTCAAACATGTATGAGTGTTTACCTCTGTATAGAACTCTTGAAATTATATTTTGGTTATCTGTTACTTAATAAGAATTTAATTTCATGTACACTTGTCTTTATGAATAATGGTAATAAATGCAAGAAGAGGGGGTGTGTAAAAACATACAAACCCACTGTTTTCACCTCCCGTTGTATGGTCATGTCATATACCTCATGTGAATGACACAAACTTTTCCATTTGGCAGTACTACTCCTTTTCCCCCCTCTTTCAGTCTGTTGATCTTAACTGCCAATGCTTATCTTTGGTGTTTTGAATAACTACTCATAAGCTGAGATAAAGCTGGTAATAGTCCTGATAAATAATGATTAGCTTTACTTTGTTTTAAATCAGGGTACAACGATGTTCTCAAAGCAGTAGGACAGGTGAAATGAGCTTTACCCTCCCTCTGTTTAAAATAAAGAAAAAAACCCACTATGGAATATATCTGTTTGGTTAGAACTATAATTGTTGTATTTCTTGATGAAGCTTATTTATGTCACAATTTTAAGATGTATAGTTTTGCTTCTCTCCATTTTTCTAAACTTATCTTTTGCATGAGTTGATAGTAGCTTGTTGTGTAAACCTGTACATTTTTTTTATGATTGCTTTCATTATAAGGGGGAGAAAACCCCAACCTCAAAACAATTTGGTTTTAAAAAGAGCTATATCTCTGCTCGAAATAGAAGTAGAGCTATGCCTTCTGGATACACATTGTGCTTAGAGGTGCAAGAAACTTTTTTCCCCTGACTTTGTTTAAAGGATATTCCAGATAAAGTACTTATATCCTCCTGAATTAAAAAAAAGATTTAAAAAAAATTATCTTTGTACCTCTAGGGTATTCGAGAGTGCTGAATTCTGAGATTTTTCAGCTGCTTAGCTCTTTCTTTTTACTAGGTTTAGCTCTGCAGATTTTTAATAGAATTTTGTTACTTCACTGTTGAGCAGTAGTCATCATCAATAATCATCAGTAGCTGGACTATGGAGAAAAATCCATCAATTATGAAAACTGAAGATGCAACATATGCCACAGAAAACAAAACTGCAGAACTTGGACAAGATCTGTGTAATTTGTTTACCTTTCTCTAGTTGCCTTTTCCTTTTCTGCCTCCAAACAGCATACGGAAACATACAAACAAAACGGTTCTGAAGTTAAACAAAAGGGAATTCTACCTATAATACAACTTGTGTATTTTTAGAAACATTTATGCTTTGAATAATTAGCAAGAATTTATAGTGAAAATCCCTTAGGTACATTACCTGTTTAAATATTGAACTAATACTTAAACTTTTATCTGGAAGCTGTCATGTACAGCTGATACAGTGAGTTGCCCACTGGGTTCAGTGGAGTTTTTCAAGGCCAATATTTTAGTGAAAGGACTTGGATTTCAGTATGTTATATTTCAAAGGAAGTAGAATGTAGGTTGATCTTAATGTAGTGGAAGAAAGGAAAAAACAAGATGGCTAAGTTTTTTTTAAAGGAAGCACAGAAGCCTGTTCTGTGTTCTCTTATGCTTATTTTTTCTAGAATCAGCTTTAGAATTGAGGAGCAGGCAATTTAAGAAAATTAAGTACTTGGCAATACTGAAGTAACTCAAAGAGCAATAATTATAAATTGGAGACATTTTAAAGTTTGACATACCAGTTTTTCTAATAAAACAGATGAACCCAGATAGCCTTTAATCTGCTCTATACTGGTGCCACGTAACAGTCATATGATTGTGATTGAGCCATTTTTAGTATTTGTGGTGCTTGCTTGAATAGGTTTGTTTTTTTTAAATTGTATTAGAGTTCTTTCCATATCTTATGCGGTGATCTTGCTTTAGACATAATAGATCTTTTCTGTTTTAAAACATTATATATGCATTTACTTCTCATTCCTTAATAAGGCATAACGTTTGGATATTTTAAATCAGAAATGGCAGAGGTGGAAGACCGGTAACATCCTTTGTGCATGTAATTTACATTTCCTGTTTTTTTAGTCTTTCATTACAAAGACTTTGCATGTTTTATTATTTGACATAGTGCCATTTTAAAAATAGAATATTTGCTAACCCTGACAACACTTTACCCAATTACATTGAATTTCAAGTGACTTTCAAGTGACAGATCAAAGGATCTTTGCCTTGCTTTTGGATTGCTGACTTTAGAGGGCTGTTTTACTGAAATGAGTTATGTGCAAATGTGAATAAACAGCACAGTATTCTGAAATCCTGTATCTTTACTTTGAAATTTTTTTTTTGTAGGCTGTTGTTACAAGTCATTGCACAGTAACAATAGCTCCTTGGAAATATTGGGCATACTAGTGACCAGCTAGCATGACTGTTAGGTTGGTTAATCTACTCATTCTTGCTTTGTCTCTGTTGACTCCAGGATTTTTTTCATTTTTTTTTTGCATGGATAGTAAAGGAGTTTATAAGGAAGGGAACTGGAGTGACTCATCACAAATGTGGCTTTCATTTTAATATTATTTTTTAACTGTTACTAAATTAACTATAATAAAATGTACTTTTCTTGTTTCTTACACGATCAGAAATAGAATGTTCGTGAACAGACAGCAACATCATGTTACATACTGTAGGTAAAAAGTCTCTGCTAGCAGATATTTAAAAGGCTTTTCTATACTAATTATGGAGATGAAGATAATACTTTTGGTGGGAAGCCGTATTAGAACACTTTAAAAATATACATTATTTTAAAAAGAGTATTTGACTTAGGAACAAGAGAAAAAGCAAAAGGGGGAAAACTGGTTGTAGTTCACTATCACTGTATTTGAAAAGGTACCGTGTCCAGTTCTGGGCTCTCGGGTTCAAGAAGACAAGGGAACTGCCGCAAAGGGCTACAGAGATGGTGAGGGGACTAGAACATCTCTTACGAGGAAGGGCTGAGAGACTTGGGGCGTTCTAGTGTGGAGAACACTGCAGGGGGATCTTAGCAATGCTTACAAATACTTAAAGGGTGGGTGTCAGGAGAATGGGGCCAGCGTTTTTTTCAGTGGTGCCCAGTGACCGAGCGAGCTAGCGGGCACAAATGGGAGCATGGGAAGGTCCACCTCAACGTGAGGAGGAACTTTTTTTACTGTGAGGGTGATGGAGCGCTGGCACAGGCTGCCCACAGAGGTTGTGGAGGCTCCTGCTCCGGAGACTTTCAAAACCCACCTGGATACCACCCGGTGCAACCTGCTCTGGCAGGGGGGTTGGACTAGATGACCTCCAGAGGTCCCTTCCAACCCCTGACATTCTGTGATTTGTTACTGTTTAGAAATACTTCAGTTTAATATATGGACACTTCTAAAAGATTAATCTGTAGGCAAATAACTATTTGTGCCATTTTTGTGTAGTTTCCAAATTCCCGATGCTGAGAGTAAGAGTTAAATGGAAAGGGCTTATTCAAGAATATGTTTTTGCATTTTAGATAGTGCATTCACTTTAAAATTGTGGAAGTTGAGAGTAAAGTGACAATAGTAGAATGGTGGCAGTGAGATTTTAGTCAGAAATTACTATGGCAAGTTTTGAAGTAATCTTTCTCTATAGGCTTCACCTTTTTTAAAGCTGCTGAGTTGGTATCACAGTGCAATTATGAAGAATTGTAGATTGCATTTCAGAATAGACCATCAGTTCAATTATAATTTGTTTACTCAGTTTATATTTTTTTTATCTTGAATAATTAGTATTTTACTATTCCTTTTCTGAATATTGAATTAAGCTTGCATAAAACAATGTTATTTCTGATTTGCAAAAAAAAATAAGTATTAGAAGCATGTTTATCTTTATAGACAAAATATGTAATACTTTTTAAAAACTCTATTGCATATAAAAGAAAAGAAAATACGGCAGTTCTGTAATATATTAGACTTCTGTTGAAGTCTGGTGAGTGTTAGTTGATAATGGCAGTTCAATTATCAGATTCTTAATCTCTTTCACTATTACTTGTCCCTTTTGCCCAAGTAGTCATTTATTCTACTTCCTGTCCCTTTAATCGCATATTTATAGTCTTGGCTCGTGTGATTATACAGTAATCATTTTCAACAGTTAAAGATTTTTATTTTTTTTTTTGCCTTTGCTTTTCATTGCACAGATAATAAATGCATCAAATGATAATTCCCTAGATCAAGGAAAAACAGGACTGTAAAGAGGGGATCAGTTTGGTAAGAATATCTTAGTTCAGTTGGAATGTTTTTCCCACTGACATGACTGTAATACAACCTTTTTTCTTTACCAAAAAGGAACAGTTAAGACACCTGTTTGGATTTTTAACTGTGTGTGTTGCAATTATGTTTCCTAGTTTATAAATTTTGGGTTTCTGTTTCAGAACTCGACACAGATTTTTATTCAAATAAAAAAGTATACTCCATAGCAATAATGGCACTTTTTCCTTGATTGTTTAAGATGGTGTTGGAGTCTGGCATAGTAGAGACGACGTATGTAACTTCTTTAAAACACATTTAAATATTTCTCAATTTCTTTGTAAGTGTACAACTTTTATTCTGAGGGTTGCTCTTTTGAATCAAATGGTGTATACTTTAAAAAAAATAATCTTAATTTGCTCTAACAGTTAAAACATTCTACTAGATTAGACTAATGTCAAAATAATAGCACTCATTCATGTCAGCATAAAACACCTTCATAAAAACAAAGGGGTCTGATGCAGAAGTCCAAGAGAACATTTATATAGACTTTAACGCATAAGGCTTGAAGTGTTTGTCTTTACTGTGTGACATTCCTGGAGAGGTGCCTGGGTTTCCTTTCCAGTTTTCTAAACTTGTTCTCACACCAGTTACCGTGTTTTCAGCACTAGTTTGAAAGCAATAATTTTAATCAACTCCTTTAATCTGGTCATGAAATTAACACAGCAAAGGAGGCCTTGTAACCAGTAACATCATCTGCAGCCTACATCTCTGCATTTTGGAGACATTTTTAGTGCGAACTACAAGACTAAGAGATCATTCTTCAGAAGAATAATTGCGTTTTTATCCTTAGCTTTATTTCCAGCCTTTTATATGTGAAACTATAAAATTTGGGCATTGGTCTACACTATCTAGATATTGATTGTTAGGATAAATAATTATTCCTAACTTTATTTTAGGCACAGTTTACCGTGTCAGTTATGCACTTCAGACTTTCATTTATTCTTTTATTCCCTCTTGACAATGTATTAGTAGATGTTATTGCTGTATATTATGTGCAAGTATTTTGGGGCGCAGTGTAACCCATGAGACTATGTATTTACTAAAAATCCCCCACGTTTAAGAATAAACCTGAAAGAAAATGTTGAAATTGTAGAAATGGCCAGTTAATAGTTTATGAAGCTAGAAACACACTCATTCTGTAAAGTATGATATTGTTCCGGGTGAGGTGTACTTGAAGTCAAACATAGTACATACATACATACATACATACACACATATATATATGTATGTACTGTTTGTTAGCTTAGTTGCATGACCTTAGTGTGCTGATCATCCTGGTTTAGCTTTAACCTTGATTAGAAAGCAAATGGAGAATCAAGACCATGATCTATGAATTAGAAAACACATTCTCTTTTTTACCTTTTTTTTTTTTTTAAAGCTTCTTCCCTGACTTTTTAGTTCAGTGTAAATAAATGTTTCTACACTTACTAATTCTTCCTCATTCCGTCGGTGTGCATCCTCTTTCTCTTTCCTTCCTTGTGTGTTGCGCTGAGTGGTCGTGCAGCGTAGACCCTGTGTTTGGCAGGCTGCACGTGTGCTGGGAGACTGCTGGACGCATCAGGTCAGAAATCCCAGCGTTAGGCAGTGGTTGCGTCGCTGTGCTGTAGCAGCCAGGCTGGTCTCGTCATCTGGGAAGCGCTGGTTCCTGGCACCAGGCACGTCATTATTTTGTGCGGCTCAAATTTATAGGCAACATGAAGGTCACGTGAGGAAAAAAGATTTTGTCATATCACTAAATCCCCTCAGTGGAGTTTGGGTGTGCCGGCTGTTGGCCTGTGAGCCTTTAGGAGTGGGAAGAGAACACACACGACATTAAACCAGTGCCTGTAAAACCAGCCGGTAGGTGCGGCCTCTGTATGCTCGTTGCAAGCAGAAGGAATGAACCTCCTGAAGTTCTAGGAAGATTGGTGTCTGTAGAGATAAGCTGCTACATGGCACCTCATACCAAAAGAGCTGACTCCTTATTTTGTGTATGAAGCTGAAAGTTGTCCAATTATTACCCAAAGTTACATTAGCAATATCATGATGGTCCTTGGGAATCTATTTGTTGGGGTTTTCTTTTTTTTTTTTTTAGAAATTCCATTAAATTACACTAATATCTAGTAGAGATAAAGCACTTCATAAAAAACCAAAATGGGGAAGATGAGTTTGGATCTCTGATCTGTGCTTTCCCATTGTTTTTTCATTCCAATAAAGTGAAAAGGAACTCTTATACTGTGTACTAGGCAGCCTGTGGTTGTTGGTTTGCTAGATTTTGTTAGGGTGAAGTAGCATATTTTCAAACTAAACAATTGGAATTGGAATAGTATTTTTTAGGTGATATGTAGTATATTGCCTTTCATTGGGGAACTGTTAAAATGCTTTTGTACTGTAAGGTGACACTTTAAAAATCAGCATTCAGATATAGTTAACTGAGGATGTCTTAAACAGAAAATAAGAATATGAATTTTATTTAAGATTGAAATAGTTCTCCATTTCAACCAAGTGTTAGCTTTAAAATAAGCTTTGAATGACAGGACTAGATTCTAGTCTCATAAAGGTAGTGATACACTTGAATATTTGTGTGTGAGAAGTTCAGTTTACAATAATTGGGAGATGATGAAAGCATTAACAGTTTGCAGCCCCTTTTTTTTTTTTCTTCTTGGGCTTTGAATCTTACGGTCAGAATGAAATTTAAAAGGTTCGGAAATCCTTACCTTAAAGATTCTGCAATTTAGTTTTTACGGTTTTTTTTAAAGACTTCTTGTGTATAAGATGCTGTGAAATAGGTATTCTGCACCAACTGGAAATTTAGTTAAATTATTTTCTCAGGGTGATTTTTAAGTGTCAGAAGTAGCAGTTCTTAGTAAAGAGGATTCCTTGTATCATATTATGTGATCAGACTTGTTACTGACAATTTTATTTATGTTTATAGTTCCAGCTGTACGGGGGTAACTTCATTCTACAGCTTGAATGTATAGTAGTGTCCTCTGTGGGTTTTTTCATCTGTTCTGTTTAGCCTTTTGTCTAAGTACATCCTGTGGCATCAGGCAATATTAGAGCAATCGCTGCATGTGAGTCTTCAAATAATATTTGACCACTGAAGGGATGGCTGTAAACTAAGAGCTAAGAGATCTGATTTTAATTTCAGTATCTCATATAGACAGTTTTCTAGTAACTTGAGAGAAATCAGAGAGCGAGTTCTGTACTTGTTGAACAGGGGAGATGTTTGCGGTTTTTCTCTGTGCAGCCTATGAAACCATTAGAACAGGAACTGCCCCTTGTGTTTTGGTACATCTTTAGCACAGTGATCTCTGAGAACCCTTTGTGTGCTGCTGTGATACAAATAGCAATTTTTTGTGCATGTCACAATAAACAGCTTTGATTTTTACAGCTGAAACACTGCAACAGATTTTACATGGAATGTCTTAATCTGGTACATTCATTAATAATAATGGAACCTTCAGTCTTAATGCAATATATGGTCAATAATAACATTTTTGCTTTGGAGTATAATTCTAAACACATTATAAAAAAGTGTAGGATAAGATTAAAATCTAATTTAAATTGAAATTTAAATGAGATGTTTTGTGCTGCTGTGCTGTCTGTCAAATATGCAGCACCACCTCCTTTTACTCTAGGCCTGCTTTTATAATTTCTCTTTTATTTCAGCTTCTCTCTCACTCCTTCAACCTAACCTTGCATTTCGCCCTTCTGGTACTTTGGCTTCTGGAGTTGTTAGTATTGTCTCTTTCATTCGCGGACCAGCCCATTTTATAATTTCTGAGTTTGAAATAGAGAAATTTGACCTTATGGAACTGTAAAAAGGCTAAAATACAACAGAAGCAGTTATTGGTGACAAGGGATAGCAAAAATCCTAAATTTTAGGTTGTTTTTTTTTTAATTGAAATAAACCTCTGGTTCTATCAAACCCCATTATAAAACATGCAGTCTGAGATGTGATTGTTTTGAGGTAATGCCTCTTGGATTATTTGGAAAGATCAATATTGTCTCCAAACCTTGCCTTTGGAATTCAATGTGATTTTGTCCTGGGATTTGAAATTTTTGCTGCCAATTTTGAGGTGTACTTCTCAGGTGTGTTTCCAAGGAGGTATCAAGGTATATATTAATGTAATTTATAGTCAATATGAACATTCATTAATAATGAAAAATTGCAAGGTGGAATATGGAACTTAAGTGTGGGTGTTAATTTAGTATCGTGTTTTAATGCTGTATACTCATCTGCATTTCAAACTTGCTAAAAAACCAAAATGAATGTTTTACTGGAATGCAATAGCTCATCATTTCTGCTAATTATATCAGATTGTAAAAAATACTTTTTAAAAATGTTACGGATTTTTTTTTTATTCTTCTGTATAGGGTCAGCTTTACCTGCTGGTAACAGACCAGGGCTTTCTTACAGAAGAAAAAGTTGTCTGGGAAAGCTTACACAACGTAGACGGTGATGGAAACTTTTGTGATTCTGAATTCCACCTACGGCCTCCATCGGACCCTGAAACTGTCTACAGAGGGCAGCAGGATCAAATAGATCAAGTACTGGATTTCTGCCTTTCTATTGTATTTTTCTGTTTGTTTGTGATTATAGAGCAATTATTTTTAGTCAGTTATATGTACATTTACAGATATATATGTATGTGTACTTGTGCATATATAGGACTACACAAAAAATTCCTTAGATACGTAGGTTGGGGTTCTCAAAAGTGCTACTTTGAAGTATTAGCGTTACTTCAAGGGAGGAAGAGTAAGACCAACTGTGAACAGTTTAGAAAATCTGATTTTAATCTTTCAGAAACTAGTTCTGCAAAGAACTTGGGTGAAATGCCCTGTATATGGAAACAGAAACAGCATTGTGAAACTTCTTCCCTGTAATACATTTGTTTTGGCTCATTAATATTGTCATAGCCAAACTTTGCCCTCTCATGCCCACTTTGCTGAATGTAGGATGAAAACCAGAGCAGACTGGGTGGTTATTTGTTGTTCTTAACTATATCTAATAGTTTCCAGAAGTTGTGTCCAAGACAGGACTTTTTTGTACTAGTTAATGCATAACCATATAGCAAGACCAAGCTCCTTGGAAATTTTACCTTCTGAAGCAGGATAACTTTATAATCATCACTATTAATGTTGATTATACTGGGGAAAAATGAATAAGCAGATGCTTTTTAATAAATGCAAGCAGTGTGTCTCTCTTGTAGAATAGAGAAACTGGCACAGATAACGGGCTAGTAATATCTGAGTTACTGTCTGTTTGGATATATCCAAAAGTACCTTTTGGTTTTATCATCTATTTAGGAGTTAATGTTCCTTACTGATGTACTGTCAACACTGTTCAGTAGATTGGAGACAGATACCCCATCAAACATAATCAGAGTGTTAATTAGAAATAGCAGGTTACAAAGAAACAGCTTCAAAATCTTGACTTCTACCTAGAACTGGTATGAGCTGACACTGTCTTTTCCTGCTGTCTGGGTAATGGAATTTAAACCTGAAAGCAATTTATTTTTATATTAGCTTTTGTGTATTGTATGCTATGACATAGGCACTGTGAAAGGAGAAATGTAAGGTAGCTGTTTTCAGCCTTTCTGCATCTTGAGTTGTGAACAGGCTTTGAAATAAATGTCTGTTTTCCATGAGATGAATGTATTTGAAGATGAAGGTGGGAGAGAAGTGATGGTACTGTGTAGCTGCACATGCTGTCACATCAAATGAATATTTCCTGATTGTTTTCTATGTGAAAGAGCATTAATAAACAAGTTTACTGTTTAGGATTATCTGATGGCATTGTCTCTACAACAAGAGCAGCAAAATCAAGAGATTAACTGGGAGCAGATCCCAGAAGGAATCAGTGATCTAGAGCTAGCGAAGAAGCTCCAGGAAGAGGAGGACAGGAGAGCTTCCCAGTACTATCAGGAACAAGAACAAGCAGCTGCTCAGGTCCAGGTAATAAAGCGTTACTAGAGAATACAATAATGAGTTTTAGAGAGTACTAACTTAATAATTACATAGACATGTCTGCATTTCTAAGGGCTTCAAACTGGTAAGACTGCTATTTACGTTCTGTACAGCGAGTGACAAGATTAATATAGGAATCTTAAGAAATAGAATTGTTGGAGTGTGCATGCAGGCATGGCCGTTGCTTCCATTTAAATACTGTAAAGCAGGCCTAACCTTCCGAATTGACTATTACTATATCCTATTCGAGTTGAATGATGGCATGAGTTAATACATAAGGCTACAAAGATTGTATTAGCTAATCTACATTCTTGCAAATAAGCATTCAGATAAGAGCTTTTTGATAGTAGTCGAAATCTTGTCTTTGTCTTGCGGAAGTTTGTTGCTTTACATTTTTAGTCTACGATATGTGAATCTATCCAGTCCCGTTTCAAATTAGGAAATGAATGGTTTCTCACAGTACACCCTTCTGTCCCCTTCTCATAAGCAGTCGTACTCAAAATGCTTGGGAAATGTGATTCATGCACATGTTTATATAAATTGCCATGTAATTGAGTCTTGTGTGCAAGAGGCAATATATAAGCTGGTGTTCTGGATTCAGGGAGGACTTGCAGAACTCCTTTTTCTTTCCAAATCTGTACAAAATAATGTGTATGAAGGCTAAATCTTTGATAACCTGAAGCAATTCCGAACCATTAACTGATGTGCGTGTTGAGCATGAAAGAAGAATTTTGACAATTAAAAATTGCGCATTTTCCACTGCTTGTCACTTTCCTAGAATCATTGGTAGCTACTTTTAAGGTTCACTACTGCTAGTTGCAGAAAGGTAGCAACAACAGAAGAACCTGTTGAACAGGACGGAACAGTACGCTCCTTTGCAGCCATGAATGGCAACAGCTGGAACAGATGGTGAATTAACAAAAGTTCAGTTGCCTTCGTATACCAACCCCATTGCAAGCTCTTAGTTTCTAGTCACGAAAAGCTGCTGCTTTGCCTTCCCTAGCTGTCAAAACCAACATTTTCACTCTGCAAGCTCTGAGATGTGGATTATGTCCTTACAAAAGAAACTAGGGAAACATCCCAGTACAGTAATGTAGAAGCGCCAGAAAATGCTTGAAGCCAAATTTTGTAATTGAAACAACTGATCTAAATATGTAGACACTCTAACAGAAGGGACATACAGCACTTGAAATATATTTTCAGCTGACTTCATTGTTTTAGAAATGAGTTTTGTTTCAGTTCTAGAGTATTTATGCAAAAAGACCCTACCTGATTTCTGCTATCTGTGTAACTTTTCTTTGTGAACTTGAGCACGCACCTATTCTATCTACAATAATGCTTGTTTTATTCAATATTTGGTTTTTTTCTATATAGCAGGTTCAAGGCGCTGCTTCTCCAGCAAGCGGAAGACAATCTGGCAGCAATGAGCGCAAACGTAAAGAGCCTCGGGAGAAAGAGAAAGAAAAAGAAAAGAATAGCTGTGTTCTCTTGTAAGAGAAAAGTGGATTTAGTCTGGACCCAAGTGCATGTCCTCAGAAGCAAAACCAAGGAATAAAAAGGAAGACAAACCCGTTACATGCCGCCTGTGCCTGATTACCCCATGGATTTTGTTCATGTTTCAAGAGAAGATGGGTGACTTTGTTACAATCATACAGACCTTCTTCAAAGTCATAGTGCGTGCTGCTCAAGATGGAATTCCAAATCACAGTTGGATGCGGCTGTGCTTTGAGTTAGTCCTAAGAAATACTGCACCTTGTAGCTGAACACACAAATCATGGCAAGTTTTGTGTCATAGTGACATCCATTACTCGTTATATCAGTTAGTAAGCTATTTTATCTTCTACTCTAAAGAAAGGAGGTAATTCATTTTGTGCAAGACTTTTTTCCTGAAGTCTGCACACTAGCACAACAAGAGTTCTGTGTTCCTTACATAGTATGAAACTATATCGTAGGCCGGGTATAGTCTTCACGACACAAGAGCCCAAATAACAGCCGGGCACTGCCTCCTCAATGTGTCCAGATCTCTTTGCTTCTGGATCTGGTATGTTCCGTTTTTTGAACCCAGATTTATACTGTGTTACTGCTATCATTGCACCTCCTGGCCAGATTTCTTGCCCCAAGAAGACGTGACTTGCTAGGCATAGTACAAAAAATTGTTGTAGAAATTGGGGCATTTATTAAGAAGCAAGATGAATATTGTTTGCTTTTCTTGCAATTACGAACTGGGTATGGCAACTCAGATGTTATCAGGGTTAAACAAGTAATTTTATAGGTAACTTTTCCATTTAGTATCTTTTCTCCTGTAGGTAAACTGGACCAGATAAGTTCTTATTTATTGACCTCTCCATATGGTAGATGAATGATGAGAGGGAACTAAGGTCTATAATAAATGTTATTCTATGTAAGAATGCAGAGGTAAAACAACTAACTATCTGCCTTTTTTCCAGAAGTACCTTGAACTTTAACATGATGTTAACAGGTGCACTTGTATATATAAGCAAGTGTACTGTAGTTAAAAACACACTTTTTTGTTTGTTTTATAAGTCATGTATCCTTAAAAAGCACACTTCTGAAGGGTGAGAGAGAAGCAAGGCTGCTCTCTGAGATTGTTTGGAAAGGTGGTCAGATGTAATAACTTTTTTTTTAAATCACTAATTTAGAATTTTTGGAAACCAGATTTTTCTAATTTATGGGAACCAAATAAACATGTTGTGTCTTGTAGTATTTATAGAATACAGAAACAGAATACTTGCTGAATTTTGAGGGAACCACAAATCTTCCTCCACTTCCATTGAGTCAGTAACTATTACCTTCTTGCTGAACCTTTTTGATAAAAATTTCTATTTAGCAATTTGTAGATATTTTGAAAAAGCCTGCTTCTCCTGGACAAGTTCTGTCTTTATGTTTTAAGCCTGAGTAAGTGCACTAGTATACGACAGTCTGGGAAAGCTAAGGCAGCCAGGTGGAATACGACATTCCTAGTTTCAGGTGTTCGTAGGATGTCAGAGACAGGATGTCTGAACACAAGTCCACTGGTAAAAAGCTGCTTTAAAATTATTTCAGGCAGACTTGCTGCAGCGGTGGGAACCGGTCATCACATGTATCTATTACGAACCTAGAATGAAGATTAGGTGGATAAAGGAAGAATGTCTTAATAACTACAGGGCCAGTTTGTATCACTTTTTTCTTCCATGCCTTTCTCCTCTTTCGTTTTCTTCCACTTTTGTTACAACTTCCCTTTTATAATAATGAAGTAGTGAATTATAGGAGTTCTCTAATACACAAACTGTAAATTTAAAAATATCTCTCTTCTCTAGAGAAGTCATGCCCAGAAAAGTAATCTTAATATGTGCAGTTTAGATAATTTTCTAGGTCAAAGCAAAGGTTGATGTCTTTTTTTTCCTTTGCAGCAGCCTAACTTCTTCAAACAAATTAATGTGATGGAGGATCACCAACAATATTGACTTACCTATTTTAAGCAGATCAGAAAATATTTCAGTAGTGTCAGTAACAAAGACTTTAAACCAGAATGTTGTTTAAAAACATTCTGTTACTAAGGTTTTTCCAAATTTGTGTATTTACATTTATTTATTGACCTTGAAAAATAAATATGTTGAGCTAAGTGTTTTGTTATCTTATTTTTTTCAGTGGCAATAGTGCCACTTGAAATTCCTCTTTGAACTAATATTGCTGGAGCAGGCATTGTGGCTACTGAGTAGATCTTTTTGCCTAAGATACTTGCTCATATTAGAAGAATTCTTGTAATGTTTCCAGTTTCAGGCAGATGTGTCTGAAACCTAATATACTGAGGCTACAGTTACAGTCATGTGGTCATGAAGGAGGAAGAGTTAAATGTCAGTGCTCATCGACTTCAGTCTGAACTCCCAGATAATCCAGTTTCTCTTTCAATAAAGAGGTAGAGCATTTTGGGTTATTTAAGATGGCAGGCATGCTATTCAGTTTTCTCTTAATATCCTTTTTTCTTTACAGGTCTTGAAGCTTTGGAAAAAAGGTAAAGAATTCCTGAGATCTTAGGGCATTGTTCTGCATGAGTTGAGCTTGTTAGAAGCAAAAGTTATAAGCAGATGAGCTTGTTAATATCCAAACTGAAATATATCAGGAAGCTTAATTTATACCCTACTGTGACTAACCATTCCAAAAGCAACTGTCACAGTTGGTATCTGTGACAGTACTTAATGATCAGAAAAACTAAACAGAATTGCTTTTATCTCTAATAGTGAGCTTGAAAACAGTATTACAAAACATTCATGGAGTACCAGAAAGACAATGTCTACTTCTGACTAGTTACTTCATTAGCTTCTCTTTTTTTTGAAGCTCATGTTCTGGTGAAAGGGCACAAATTTATACTTTAAATCTCTTTATACAATTCAGCATGCACATGCTCCAAATACCTACGTAATACATATGAAAGTGTCCAGAAAAGTAGAGTAGAACTTGTTTTCCACTAGATAAAAGCTAGCACACAAAACAGTCACAGAATTTTTGTTGTTGCCTTGTAGTTGTGAAATTAAAAAAGCTCAATAGAAGTATTCTTAAAATCAGCAAAAACTGAGCACTGCCATAGTGATAAATGTTTTTCTAAGAGGCATTTTGTAAATGCTCAGATATACGGCTTTCCTTGTGACACTTGTGTGGAATCTGCGACCCAGCAAAGCAGATCCAAAGGAAGTTTGTAACACCAGGGGATGGAATCAGCATTCCTGAAAATTCACTTAAACACATGCAAAATATCTATTTTGTAGCTAGCCATCTAGTTATGATATTAAAGTATGCATTCAGGTCATCTTTACAGAGTGGATCACACCCACGCAAGCTAAGTGTGAAGCATATGCTCTTTGGTGTGCACTTGCATTGGATTCCCAGTCACTCTCTACACACATCTGGTATTTCACATTATTGTCAAATGTTTCTTCAAACTTGTGTATACAAGTTCTTGAAAAAAATTCCCAGTATGTAATAAAAGGCAATTTGGGTTCCTGAAATGGAATCTTAGTGTGTTCGGCAGGAAATGCTTGAGTAAAAGGTGAAGCTGATGTACTTTTAACTGAACCTTTCTTCTTTTCCCCTACGATAGATCCATGATCCAAAGCTAGCTCATGGCTTATATCAGCTTTCTTACCATTACAATGCTTATCATAGTCAATTGTTGAAAGCTATACAACGTACACCCTTAAATACAACATACTGAATTAAGAGCTGTATTTATTTTATGTAAAGGTAGACTTTTTTTTTTTTTAGGTTGTAACCTGAAACAGCAAGTGACTCGGGAATAGAAGTTAATTGATGCAGTATCCCCATCAGAAAGTGTATTAGAGAAAAGCAAAAATAACAAGCCTCAGTTCAGTTGCAATATAATGCTCACATCTTTTCTGTCTATATTATAGTAAGATGACTTTTTAGTGTCAGATTTTCCTTGACACCAAAGTGTCCAGTTGTAGCAAATGTCACATGGGAGAACTTAAACATATGCATTTTATCTTGGGATTCAATGCAGTTACTTTTTTTTTTTTTTTTTTTAAAGCAGAACTAGCAGCAGACTGTTAGCAGTGTTGTTTTGATTGGGAAGATTTGGTGAGATGAATGACACTTTCTCATACAAAATCATTTACAGATGAGTCTATTTGATGCTAATTTTCATAGTGTTTCCATATAGCTCCTTCGTGTTCACTGCATATTCTTACAGTTGCCCAGTAGAAAAGCAACATATTTAAGCTCAAGCGTCATCTGCTCTGATGGGGAAAAAAGTGCAGTAGGGAAATGCTGAGGAGGAAAGACAAGCTGGAACGTACAAGTCCCTGCACTGCCTCTTGAGATTGTTCAGGTATTTGTCATTAATTTTGCTGTTTCTTTAGATATAAATAGCTGTAGCACAGCATAGAGTGGCCAAATCTCACTCAGGTAATGACCAGCCTGGTGGTTGGCAGTGTCTGTCCCTGTACACGCTGTTTTTCATTCTCATAATGCTTCTAGGTCAAGGCCAGGGTTCTGACCCTCCAATATCTCAAAATATTTTTATTAAATGTCAGTTACTAACTGTTCAATTCTGGTCATTATGTGAGCTGTATCACTATGAGCTCTCTCTTTCCTGGAGAGTTAGCACTAGACATCTTGGCGAAACTTGAAAGTTCTTTACTGCCTTTACAGTTCCTCTTCTGGTTTATAAGGTTACTTTTACTCATGGAGAAGATTTATGTGCTGAAATGAGCAATTCCTTCTTTTCTGAGATTAAGAACTTCAACTATGGAGTTAATTATCTTTAGAAGTAAAGATCCCATGTTTACCTCTGCCTGACAGCATAGAAAAATTTTCAGCTAAATGTTGTTTGGGAAATCCATAGGGAACAGTTCAGATAAATTTCAGTACTCAAATTAACTGAAAAATTTTCTAGCTTTGTATAAACAGTATGCTTACAAAATGATTTATTGTAACAATACGATGAAAATAAAGGCATCTCTTTCTCCGTGTAATCTGTTGATGAAACGTGAAAGAAGGCACTGCCAGCGCTTTCATCACCAGCTGAATCATGCATTTAAGGAAGCAGGTGGGGGCGGCGTGGCAAACAGTCTTGCTGGGGCCAAAAGCGAGTGAAATAGGATTGTTCGGTATAGCGAACTGCTAAGCCAAATGTATATAGGTCTTGGAGGTGGACAAGCACACAAACTCAAGCTTTATAGTTCTTTAATATCTTGAACTGTCTTTTAGTGCTGACCTAATTTCAGTTTGGGTCCCATCCAGCTTCAGTGATGCCACTTGTGAAACAAGTGTGGGAGGTGCTCTACCAGAGTCTTGGGAGATGATGCCTTGAGCTCATACAAGCTCAGATTCTCCACCAGAGAGCTGGATAAAGTAACGTGATACTTAGTCTGTCTCAACTTGAAGTTCATGTTCTCTTTTCTTGTTGAAGCCATTATTAAAATTTGCACAGGCTTTTTGAGTTAAGACTTCAGCTTTAATTTTTCAAAGTTGAGATTATGCTAAGCAGCCTTGAACATTTCACCTGACATAGTTTAACATTTTTAGATTTCTTCTAAGTGTGTTTCAAAAAAAATTGGGCTAACTTGTATTTTTGTCGGAAACCCTCTGTTCAATTTTGTTCTGGTTCACTGGCATGTGCCAAGGAAATGGTCAAACTTGCAATTAGAAGCAGCACCAGTGTGCCGGTAAACCTAAATCAGCTCAGTAATGTCTCGGCCCTTGGGTTCAGTCATCTCTTGTTTTGGGGAGCTCCAAAATAATGATATGGAAACAGACAATTTTCCCCCATTTATATAAACTGGCCATATCTAGTCGTTAATATTTGCATTGAGTGTTTTTGCTTAAGGCTTACTTCTGCAGTCCCCCTGTGAAGCTGAAGAGTTAATGTTTAAGCTTGTAACCCAGTAAAGAGT